TCAAACAAGCCAACCCCCGCCTCTCTACGATGTTTTGACGCTGAGATATAGCTAGTGTTATATCGTTGCTAGGTTAGTCTGTTTTGTTGCTATGGAGTTGATTGACAGCTTAGACTGATGATGTATCAAAGCTTCTTGCAAGTATGAACAGTTAAAAACAACCCCCATGTCTCTATCATAATGCAGCATGACAATATCAGTCTGAACCTCTTTAATGGCAGTCTATGGGACAGTTGCTAGGGTGCAGTATCTGGTTGTTAGGGCGTGGCTAGAAAGTTAAAAGGCCATCAGTGATTGGCTGCTGGCTAGACTGAGTTAAATGAGCTCAGCCATTAGTCTGTAGGACAGTTTGATGCAGAGTTATGAGCTCACAAAGTTTAATCCCATGTAAAGTCAATGAGAGTCTTTTGCAATGGAAGTCTATGGGACGGTTTCTAGGGTCCAAAAGTGGTTGCTAGGGCGTGGCCAGAAAGTTTAAAGGTGATCATTCATTGGCAGTTTGATAGTCTGAGTTAAATGAGCCCAGTTAGAGTTCTGTGCGACAGTCTGACGCAGAGTTATGAGGTCACAAAGTTTGGTCCAATGTTAAGTCTATGGGATTTTTCCGACGGTCCCGGGACGTTTTTCGGAAAACCGAAAGTCGGATCAGTCTGAGGAGACATAGCAACCCGAGTCAGAATAGTTCGGAAGTCTGACCCGAGTTTGATGGTCATAGCTTGAAAGCTCTAGGAGGAGATGAGTTTTGAATTTTAGTCTCAGAAGAAGAAAATATAATAATAAGTTTAAATAGGATTTCAGTAGTCTGGCTTGCTACACAAGCCAGCCTAATAATAATAAGTTTAATAGGATAACAGTAGTCTGGCTTGCTACACAAGCCAGCCTAATAATATTAAGTTTAATAGGATAACAGTAGTCTGGCTTGCTACACAAGCCAGCCTAATAACCATCAAAAATGAAAAGTGAACATGTGTAAATAAATACACATTGACATGTATAAATATGCCCATGTTAATTAAAGTAGCTGATTAATTGTGAATGCATAGTGACTTATGATTGTGTCTGGTTTGTAGAGGCTCATGTCACACTGCAGATGGCAGCATCCAGACATGAACAACTTCAGGGAGTGTGTGTCAGTAAAGGATATCAGTCTCGCCTGACTGAGCCGTAAACCCGCACACACACTATATTACAACCACTGTATTTGTGGTTTAAGAGACGGCTTCATGGCGTAATATACTTTATACTATAAAAACCACTTATATAGATAAAGATCTGACTAAATGTGATATTTAAGAGTTTTTAAATACAACATAAGGCATGTCCTCATACCTGTAAGACCTAGGTCATACAAATTTATGTCCTTGTAAACCACTCAGCCCAGTACACAGACACAAATATGCATGATTAATTATTTAAAATGACTAATCCTGATTAAGGTGGCACGGTGGCGCAGTGGGTAGCGCTGTCGCCTCATAGCAAGAAGGTCGCTGGTTTGAGCCTCAGCTAGGATAGTTAGCATTTCTGTGTGGAGTTTGCATGTTCTCCCGTGTTTGTGTGGGTTTCCTCCGTGCGCTTCGGTTTACCCCAGTCCAAAGACATGCGGTGCAGGTGAATTGGGTTGGCTAAATTGTCCGTAGTGTATGAGTGTGTGAATGAGAGTGTGTGGGTGTTTCCCAGTAATGGATTGCAGCTGGAATGGCATCCGCTGCGTAAAACATATGCTGGATAAGTTGGCGGTTAATTTCGCTGTGGTGACCCCTGATTAATAAAGGGAATAAGCTGAAAAAGAACGAATGAATGAATACTGGGCGAGGCAGTGGCACAGTAGGTAGTGCTGTCGCCTCACAGCAAGAAGGTCGCTGGGTCGAACCTCGGCTCAGTTGGTGTTTCTGTGTGGAGTTTGCATGTTCTTCCTGCCTTCGCGTGGGTTTCCTCCGAGTGCTCCGGTTTACCCCAATGTCCAAAGACATGCGGTACAGGTGAATTGGGTAGGCTAAATTGTCCGTAGTGAATGAGTGTGTGTGTGAATGTGTGTGTGGATGTTTCCCAGAGATGGGTTGCAGCTGGAAGGGCATCCGCTGCGTAAAAACTTGCTGGATAAGTTGCAATTTATTCTGCTGTGGCGACCCCGGATTAATAAAGGGACTAAGCCGACAAGAAAATGAATGAATGAATACTGATTAAAACAGCAGCATTAAAATAATAAAACAGTGTGCAAATAGACAGCATGACTGAGTATCTTTTATGGCACATTATTATTACCAAAGAGATGAGTCATTTTTTGCAGCTACCTATAATATAGCACAGAGGTTACAGAACTTTCGCAACAAGTCTCTGATTTGCACTCATTTGCTATATGCCCTTAATGTCATTGCATTGTTTACAATATCTTATTCCTTATGTATATTTTTTAGACCACATTTTATGTACAATTGTGTATATTGTAAAAAATATATTTTTATATTAGTTTTATAGGCACCTAGGGTTTGAGAGTAACGCAATTTCGATTATCTAAATGTCTTGTACATGTGGCTGACATGTTAATTGACAATACAGCTGACTTTGATATGACTACCAAATATATGAACACACACATAAAAGCAAACTCATTTACTTGGATATAAAGATGGGACCCTACTTAGATCTCTGTTGTTTTTATAGACAGTTATACTGCCCATTTATTTACTATTAAACCATTTATATTCCTATTTAGGGTGCTTTCACATCTGTAGTTCGCTTCATTTGGTCCGGACCAAGGGTAATAAATGATACATTGTTGCATTTTCTGCCGTCTTTAGGTCGTTTTCACACCACACTGCTGGCTTTGGTCCGAACCAGTTGAAGCGAACCAAAATGCAGTCATCTGACAAAATTCACATCTCTCATTGGCCAGATGTTGTTGAACATATTTCCTAAACTGCTTATTGATTGGTCAGAATTCACGTGCGGGAAAATGCCAGTGAACTCTCGCAGGTAAACAAAACCTTTTACTATGAAGGGACGACTGCGCTGGCTGATTGTATCCCTGCTTTAGACAAACTATACATTACGAAAATGAAGCACGGCCGCGGCTGGAAAACAGTGTTTAATGCAATTCATTTAGTGAATTCATTTAGCTAAACTGCGACATGGTCATCTTGCGGAAATATTACCAACGATCCATCAGGTAATGTTTTCCCCTCTCTCTCTCTCTGTTGGTAAAGCGCTGTCAACAAATATTTTTCCTCCATATCCCATAATGCAAAGCGCATCGGCCTACGGCAGCTGAATTAGTCCAAAACGCGCAGTACTTTTTGCGGTTGGACCTGTTTTAGTACGGATCGTATTCTCACCACAAACGAACCGCTTCAGGGTTCGTTTGAAAGTGTACCGAGACCACCTCTTCAAGCAGGTCTCGGTACGCTTATTTGGTCCGCTTTTGGTGCGCACTCGAGTACGATTGCTGCATTCTCACCTGCCCAAACGAACCGTACCAAAAGGGGAAATGAACTCTAGTCCGATTCAATTGAACTAAATAAGGCAGGTGTGAAAGCACCCTTAGAATAGAGAATATCACCTTTTGAAAATGGAGGTATTTTAGCAGGGTCAATTAGAATTTTTTTTATTTAGGGGGATCGGGGGGGCTAACCCCCTTATCCCTTTCGACCCTAGCAACGCCCCTGCTAATAATGCTAACGTTATACAAAAGCAAATTGTCACGAATTAACCGAAAAAGCCCCCCGAGATGAAGGCATGAAGGCAGTGGTTTTCATATTTATGTAGACTAGAAAATAATGTTTTGTAATATTTTAATTCTTTAAATTTATATCCTATATATATCCTTATTATATCCTATCTATATCCTTAATATTTTAATATTTTTTCCATATGTAAAGATATTTTCGTATTGCTCTACATCTTGTGTGTATTAAGCAGTGTGTAAGCGAGGCGCACAACTAACGTGCTCTACGCTGGTCAATTGAAAAATCTATTATAGTTTCTCCAAATAGCAACGCACCAGCAATACACCTCAGAACGCCTATGGACGCACATATGAGCGCTAATGCATTTGCTATTTAAACAGCGTGGCGCAAAACGTCAAAACAACTCTTGCGCCGAGCTGAAACTAGCAAACAATAATTGCGTCACATTGCGCCGGGTGTATGATCCCTAAGTGTTTCTTTATCAATTGTAATTATAAAACATAGAGTTAGCTAATGTTTACCATTAGAGGCAACCAAAAGTGATTTTTGCATGACAATACCCCTTTAAAAAGAAACATTACACTTGAAAAACTTTGTAGATCTACAGTTTCTTTATATTTTAAAATGAAACAATATCTTTTTTTGAACATAAATAGCCCTTTGCGTCATCAATGACACAATATTATTATTATTGTTTATTTCCAGCATCACAAAAACTGCTTGTCCTGACAGTAATGTACAGAAATAAAACACTTTCCACTACCTAGAAAGCCCCAGTGTGTTAAATTTAAAAATAAAATACAAGAAGCAAAATTTAGATTTTATTGCAGGACTGTAATATTATGTACAGTCATAAAAACATATTTATAGAATATTACTCTCAGCTACAGCAAAAAAAAAAAAATCAGTTATTGATTATCCTCAGCATCATGTCTCTGGGCATAATCAGGCTTCATCTACATTACAGTAATTTTTTTCTCTTGAAAAGCAGAAAGGAAAATGTGTTCTACTGTGTCTAATCCCGTCTTGAATGGTCTCTTGAGTAATGCAGGCTTCTTCCATTGTTTTCAAAAGATTTCATTGTCATAATTTGTTCGTAAGGGTTGATTCGGTCATGACCGTAAACCTTTCACCACCATGGACAAAAAAAAAAAAACTACTTTATGGGATTGAGAAATGGGAAATGCGCTGGTAAAAACATGTTTAATAATCTGGGATGGGCCAGTTGCGGACCACAACAGCACGATGGAAAATTGCGTTATCTAAATTTAAAACATACTAAGGCTGCTCAGCCACTCAGTCTTCGGTAACACTTTCTTTGGATGGTCCTTTTGAGTATTACTAGGCTGTCTGCTTAATATCTGTTGATACAGCTCCTTCAACACAACCCTAACCCCAACCTAACAGTCTAGTCGTAATCTAATGAGAATTAGTTGGCATGTAGATGCAATGTAACTTCAATTCAACAAACGGACCATCAAAATAAAGTGTGACCCTTTCTTCTTGCGAAATAATGGAACCATAGAGTATGTTGAGGAAATCCAAGAGATGCTGTGTGTTGTAAGAGCCCAAGATACAATAGTATAACAATAGAGAACCACATGACTGATTGCAGTGAACTGGAAATAATGTGTCGTGTTTAAAAGGCAAAAGAGTCAATGTAAAAACATTATCACTGCTTGAAAGAGGTCAATATTGCTGAAATGCCTTTGTTCTATTGTTGCAATAATAGACATATGGGTATGGTAACATTATACCTGAAATGCTTTCAAAGAACGAAACCGCATTGTTCCAGGATTCTTATATAATCCACGATATAAATCAACCCATGAAAGTTAACATATGTCAAGCATCACAGTCAAAAGCAGTATGTGCCTTTCACTATAGAGGACAGTAAAGGCATTATTCTCTTAAAAGACAAAAAGGTTAGAACTAAACCGAGGTTATCACACACATTTATGTAACACAATAAGAAGGTAAATCCCTTTTGTGACAACTTAAAATGAAAGTAAACTTTAAGATTATATAACACTAACAATAACCCCCAAAAATATAGATTTTTTCTACTGTTAATATATTAAAATTTGTATTTAAAATGTAAAATAAAAATGATCTCATTTACATTTAGTCATTTAGCAGACGCTTTTGTCCAAAGCGACTTACATATGAGGACAAGGAAGCAATTTACATAACTATACTGAATAAGTGCTGTAGGCAAGTTTCAGGTGCGTAAAGTGTAAGAAGCAAAACATTTTTTGTTCACAATTCTTTATTTATTTATTTATTTATTTTTGGAGTACGGTTAGCAGTGGAGCCAGAGACGCAATTGCAGATTAGGAAGGAAAGTGGAGACTAAATAGTTGAGTTTTTAGTCGTTTCTTGAAGACAGCGAGTGACTCTGCCGTTCTGATGCAGTTAGGGAGTTCATTCCACCAACTGGGCAGATTGAATGCGAGAGTTCAGGAAAGTGATTT